CCGATTTTTTATTTTTTATTTTAATTTTTTATTTTAATTTTTTGTTAATTAAAAATAAAATTAAAAATTAAAAATTTTTAAAATTTAGTAATAAAACATAAGGTTTCCATAGTTATTTCTTAGAAATTATTTACGAAAGTAGTTGTAAAAGTGTTCAAAAGATTGTTTAAACCATCTAAATACATAAAAAACTAAAATTAAGAGCTAAAGAAGCATTTTTTTGAGAAATTAGTGGACTAGCGGTGGACAGATCTCGAAAAAATACGCGATTTGAAAAAAAAATTGTCCAAAACGGACAACCGAGTCAAAAGTTATGCCTTCCGAAACTTTTTCAACATTAAAAAAAAAAAAACAAAAAACAAAAAAAAAAATTATAGCGCCGAACCGGCCGGTTAGGCGGTCTAGGCGGCCGGCTGCGGAGGCCGTTCCTCGCGGCGGCGCAATGGCGCCTAGCGCCTAGGCGCCGATTAATCGGGAGAGGATGTATAGGTAAGGTATTTTTAATGGATTCTTAGCTCTCTTGAAATACAAGAAATTGTTGATTTTTCATCAAGGAAAAAAATCTAAATGCTCCACTCAGTCATCCAGTGTGAATTAAATAAGGATGGTGTATGCAGGCTCAAATTAAACATTTCCTGTGTCGCAACTAGTGCGCCCCGGGTGCCCCCGTCCATTAACAATTTAAAAAAAAAAAAAAAAAAAAAAAAAAAACATTTCCTGTGGTTAGAGCTGTCAAATTTGCAAAATTAATTTAGTGATTTTGGATGGGTGGAAATTGATTGATGTGAAGTTTCACCTACCCGCATTTACCCATATCTTTAATAAATAGAGAAATTATATATAAATCATTGATCCCTTTCCTACTATGGATTTCCTGTGTGTTTTTTGTACCCCTCTATAGCTTGCTCCAACTTCGCATGATACCATGCAGTTGATAAATACACATCTTGTGCTGGACCCTTTGCCTTGTATGGTGAAGCATGTTACTCTCTGTTATTATCTGTCATATGATGAAATATGCACTATTGAGAGAGAGAGAGAGACTACCATAGACCATAGTTGACTCTCTCTGTCACTTTTTTCCCTTCCCGCTTTTGCTGCTTCTTTCTTCTTCATTTGTCAGCACACTGCCAGAATCTTCATTGCCTTAAATACCATTTTCGTTCTTTTTTTTTTTTTTTTTTTTTTTTTTTTTGTAATACTTTATTTTGTTTATCTTCTTCCACTTGCCTAAGTAATGAAATGTCGCATTGGTTTTGCAAATGGACATAATTTTGTTTTAGATGGATTTGGAAAACATTTAATAGGGTGTGAAGTTGGGACTTCTGTTACTGATTTGTGAGGGTGTGAAGTTTTAGGGTGCGTATCTAGGATTGTAATGCTGATTTATTATTTTGTTCTTGATTTTTGTGGAGGTGGTGGTGCTTGGTTATTGGGGTTCAGTGATTGTGATTTTTCTCCTTTTTGGGTTAAAAATGGTTTTTCCCATGGACATCTTTGAATTTTGAAAATAATGTTTAGAGTACAATATTACTCTCAATTGCATATGGGAGAGTGAACACCATAGTAGCCTGGTAGGTGGTGGTTGAAAGGGGTGGAATGCTAGCAATAGGACCCTATTTTATGACCAAAACAGGGGTATTCTGCAAACTGAAAAAGGCAGAGATGTTCCATGAAATTAGCAATTTATTTTTGACCTGAAACTGGTGTTGTTTGGATACATTTGAGATGTATTCTTAACTGATTTTAGTAGTAACATTTCATCCAGTCAAGTAGGTTTTATATATGTAGCATGCTTTAAGAATTCTATATTCTGATTCAACTTCAAAGATATTCATGTGTTTATGCATTAGAATGAAATGTTATTTAACAGGACTCAAGCCTTATACATTAGCTAGAGTTCCCCAATTTTTGATGACCTGTTTCTGCTAGAAGTGATCATCAAATGCATATTATACTATCAGTCTTCATTTCTTAATGGGTATTATGTGGAATTTTTTTTTTTTTTAAATAATTTTGGAACCATTAATTGATCTCTACTTTTTCTTGAAAGAATTTCTGATGCAAATCCTTCAATAACTTGATCTAACAAACAAGTTTCATGATGAATTTGTTTGTCACTTTTAGCAGTAATAGGTGATCACACAATTGGGCAATTCTAGATTTTAATGGTTAACAGTCTAACACTCAACAGTGGGTTGTGTATACATACATATATATATATATATATATATATATATATATATATATATATATATAGGGTTGAGTTCAAATGAGGACAACAATATATAGAGGACTGTGAGGACAAATAATGGGCACACAACAAATTAATACCTGGCACACAAATTAATACATAATGGCACACTAGAATAAATGTAAACATCAGGTTTCGAACCCAGGCTCTATAAATTAACAAATCTAGCACGCGACATACAAACTGTGGCACACAACTACACTCGGCCATGCACACGACATACCGGCTAATGGCACACACTACATCTGTCCTCACAGTCCTCTATAAGATACTTATCCTCATTTGAATACACACACACACACACATATATATATATATATATATATATATATATATATATATATATATATATATATATATATATATATATATATATATATATATATATATATATTTTGGGTGGGTGGGGCGAAATTTTTACTGTATGCATGTGTGTACATGTTCATTAGCAGAAATCTTACATGTTTGTGTTCTGATGCCACAGGTAGCTTTACAAACGGGGTGTTTAGAAATAAAAAGTTCTCCACTATTCTTGGTTGCTGAAATTGTGGGCAAACACCTATAATGTCCATCTCTTGTGTTTTGCTTTGTGGTTTTGGTCTGTGCTTCCAAGCATTGTAACAAAAAAGTCATGACATTCTTTTACTCAATAATGATGACGATTTACAGTCACTGCAATTTCAAAAAACTCCAGTTCTCCTTCAATGACTATAATGATGCAGTCATACCAGCTTCATTACAAATGATTGAAACCCCCCACCACCTAGTTTTGTCTTGGTGGAAGAGGTAATACCTGTTTTCGTTACGGTTGCGGTTTTTATTTGTCAGGAAGTATGTATGTATGTATGTATGCATTTATAATAGGTGGGGAGTGAGGAGAATTGAAGGCATTAGGAAGCCAGGTGTGGGCAGAGGTTTTGCTCATTTAATTACTACAGCATAATAGGACAAACAGTGTGTTCCTATACTCTCCCAAGGACCACCTGGAAATTGGAAAATATCAATCAATGTCGTCTCTTGTGGTGTCTACATGCCTTTAATACTGTATCTTCTGAATCACAGCCTAAGTCGATTATGACTGCAGTGAGTGTAGTTTAGAAGAAGGCAGGACCAGGAGAGTGAGTCTAGATTCATCATTCATGCCTGCATGTGAACAATACTGTTTTTCTTCTTCTTGCCTTCTTTGTCAGAACTCACATCTCCACCGTCTCATCTCCTATAGTGATATGTTCTTGATTAGACTCCATCATGCAAAATCAACTTTGCCACTTTAGAAACACCACCCCTAATCCCCTATTATTAATTCTTGAGTAGACAGCCTTCGTTTTTGGTGAATAGGAATCAAACAAGATTGTTGGTTCAATATTATTGTCTGACTCCACCGACATTGTTGATTCAATGTTTAATAAATAACTCTTTTATTAAAGTTGGCATCATTATCTTATGAATGAGATGTAATTGCCGCCAAAGACCTCGCATAACAGAGTAAGTAGTAAAGTTAGAACCCTAGTGTAGGGGACATTGACCATTTGTGTTTCAGTAGGTTGAGAAAGAAATATGAATAGGTACTATATTGTAACAAAGTCACTTGATATTGGTGACACATAATATGATAGTTATAGGTACAAAAATTATCAACTGTAAATATAGAATGTGTCAACTATAAACACAGAATCTGAAAGTTATTTTTTGACCTGGATTTACAATGCCTGGTAGACCCTCGTGTATGGTATAATTTGCCTCTTTAAACCACACAATAACTGGCACTACTTTTCATCCCAAGCCCAACTTCAATCATACTGATGATTCCATGTCCTCCTTTTTCTCCCTGTAATTAATAATGTGAAACAATTGAAGTTCGGTCGGCTCATTTTCAACCCTATTCTTTTTGTTCAAAATCATTCCACAAACAGTTAAGTTTACATCTTGCATCCCACGTCGTAATGTTCTTGTTTCGCTTTCTGGGGTGCACGACCCAACACATGCCTACCATTCCAACTCTTCACACAACACACACCATTATTTTCTTTATTAAATTAGCCTGTCTTAATCCAACCCCCCCTCCCAAAAAAAAAAAAAAAAAAAAAAAAAAAAAAGATTGCGAATCCTACCACCATCACTGAACAATCTAAACAGTAAAACAATCAAACAGTAATAATTTACCTGGGATAAATAAGTGGCTAAATCATATGAAAGAATTCAGCATTCTGCAAACAAATTCACCCAAATAATATACATAAATAAATAAAATATACAAACAAATTCACCCAAATAATATACATAAATAAATAAAATATACAGTCCAATTATCATTTAAACTTTAACACACAATTTTCAATTCTATCAACAAATGAAGAACAGCTTGAGGCTGGAAACAAGGATTGATATTGATATTGATATTGCAACATAGAAAATAACAAATTTTATTGGTTTTCAATGGGACAGTAAAAATGATCACAAATATATAGTCAATCTGGGGTAGAGCCTAATGCACACAACGAATCCTCACAATGTGAAAGGTAACAGATGATTATTTACACAATAACCCTGTAATACCCACATCACTACTACTGAAACCTAACAAAAAATGAATAAACCAACAGAATGGACACTTAGAAGAAGAATTCAACTGTGTGAATGAAACTTGAATGTGAATAGACAAGGAGGCGGGTTGTACAAATTGGACAGACAGACTAGGGCACTTGAATGTGAACGGACGAGGTGGGTTTTGTACAAATTTCACAGGCTAGGGCATGTATTCGGTCTCGAGTGTTGGTTGAGTTCTTGTTACAGTAGCAGCAGGCGCTTTCGTGCTTCCAACCCTGGTCATTTGCAATGCTTCCCCGACCTCCGAAGCCCTTTCCATCTGTTGCATTTTCTTCTTGCGTTTGTACTTGCACACCCAGACTATAAGAAACGCTAACAGAACCAACAGTGCCAATCCTCCTACCACCGACCCAACTATGATCCCAACCTTTTTGGATTTCTTACCCTCGGAACTTGGTGCCTGTGCTTGTTTTGGCGCTCCTGCTGGTGGCGGTGGTGGAGGAAACACTGGGGCAGGAGAAGGAGCAATGGACTCGACCACAATAGAGAAATGGCCCTGCTGGAACGTTGTGCATATGTTGTCGGATAACACATTGCTGAAATTAACAGAACCTTTTAAATCAATTGAAACACACTTTGCAGTAGATCCACCAGGCACTGATTTCACGTCTGGAAACCTTATAGAGATGGGCTTATCAGATGCCGTAATATTCCACTCCTGCAAGTTCGTGGCTGACAGGTTTGTTGCATCATAAGCAAGAAGACCAAGAACGGGAGCTAAATACATGTACCCAGATAAAGGATAATACTTCATAGACAAATTGCCCAAGTTTTGATAGACCAAGACAAGCCTCTTAACATAAGGGTGCACTATAACTTCAACAGGTATTTCAAACTCGTTATAGGTGACACCTTTACTCCTTAAGCTGCCACTCCTAAGCCTCAATGCAGAAACCTTAATCCCTGTCAAATTCGAGGGGACACTTCCCCCGTATACCACCCCAGTTTTGGGTCGTCGACCAAATGCTTGATAAGCATAATCTTGGAGAAGTGCATCCAGAGACCGTGCAGCTGCCAGAGCAGAACCAGACAACTGAGCACTGCCTAATTGCGGCAACCAGAACAACCATATCACAAGAAGCATCGACAGACCTCCAAGAAGCCCCATCGACGCTTCACAATATCCAAACACCAACCAGTAACAGTCCCAGTCAATGTGGATCGCCCACAAAGTTACCACAATGGAACCACCAAATTATTAACTTATCCAGGAAAATTCTTGGATCCAGAATGGTAACAGGATTGAAAACCTGACCAGAATACCTATTATTATATCAACTAACACAGAAGCTTCACAGTCACACCTCACTTTCTTCCAAAATCAGAATGTTCGTTGACGAATCTGATTCTGAATGCCAAATAGAACGGTAACTGTATCACAAAAGAAGTATTCTCCAGATAAACAAAGCGAGTCGAAGCAGCCAATGCTTTAAGCCGTTGCAAAGTCGCAAATTATATCCGGGACCTTTTCCTTTTGGAATCCTTGCTTAAAAAAGAAATAGAACGATAAAGTAGAATTTGGCCACTCAAATCCAGACCCCAAACCTCATAATCAGTGGCCAAACCAAAATTGCAATTAGGAGTCCTTCAATGCTCTCCTTTTCATAGCTCTAATCTCACTTTAAATACTAGAACAATGTATGTATTCGAGATGCGGAAATCAGAAAGAGGAAGTGCAGGAAATAGCCACAAGAAAAGCATCCGAAGGAGCAAAAATACACTACACTTTACTTTTCCACAAGTACCTGAACTTAGGGCAGCAAATTTCACCTCAAACAACTCCTAGCTCCTAAAGCAGAATCCTCAGCTATCCGCCGCAATGTGGAACCGTTCCGTTCACTTGATTACACAAATAAATAGAAGAAGAAGAAAAAAATAAAGAAGCTTTAACGAAAGCTAAATCTCCATTCCCCGACTCGAACCACGCAGAAGAGAAGGCCGAGCGCTCCAACAACCGAGAAACCGAATTCGCATTCTGTCCGTCGGAGCCGCCGACGAATCACCGGACCGGAAGCTCCCGCTCCCCTCCGGCCACGCAACACGGTGAAAATCCAGCACACTTTCCGAAACGCGGTTTCGGAGCGGGAATCCAATGAAAGACGGCAAATCTAGGAGGAGGAAGACGGAGAGAAGATAAGCTTGTGATGAACTGGTGGAGACTGGTGCGATGAGAAGAGAGAGAAAGAAGAGAGAGAGACAGTGTGTGTGTGTGTGTGTGTGTGTGTGTGTGTGTATATGCGAAAAAGAGGAGAGAGAAAGAAAACGGGAAAAGACAGAGCGTGTGAGTGAGTGAGTGGGGATGAAATGGAAATGTGAATACAGCTACAGATGCAGAATGGGAGGGAGGAAAATTAGTAATTTAGTGCCGGTAGGAGATTTTTTTTTATTATTTTCTTCTCTGCTTTATACAAATGTGCAATCATAGATTTCATTTTTGGAATTTATTATTCCTCACAATTAAACCCAAATCAATCTTTTTTTTTTTTTTTTAATTTGTTTGGTTTGGTGATTAAATATCTTGCTACTTGCTACATTTTTTTTTTTCCTTTTATTTGAGGGTGTTAGAAATTAATACATGTTAGAGCATTTTCAATAGTCTAAGATCTTGCATATTTTTTTAGAATCCAAGTAGGGAAGTGGAAGGAAGGAAAAAAAAAAACAATTAATGTAATACACGCGCCCACTAGGTGCGGCTGGTGCACTTAACACACACTTGCTACATTTTTTTTGTTTCAGTTTGTGAGGTCCATTTCAGGGAACAAAAATCAGCACTCCTACAACAATCCAAATCTTCTCTCTCGAACACAACTCTCTTTTTCATTTTAGATTAAATCTCCTCAAAAACTGAGCCAAAATTCCTATTGAGATGCTTTTAAGTATATGTCTAATGAGTGCTCGATATTTATAAATTTTGATATAATTTGTATAAAGACTAATAAGAGAATGACGATTAGCCTTGTACAACTTATATATTTGTATTGACTTGGTATGTTCTTACTTTACCAATTGTTATAATATGGATTAGAGAAAAGGGTCAAATAGACCCCTAAACTTTACCCTAAAGGTCAATTAGCCCCCTAAACTTTAAAAAAGGCCAATTAAACACTCAAACATGTTAAATTTGGTCAATGAAGCCCAAAAACCGATAAATGACCTGTTATTACAGGTCATTTTAATTCCGGCGACGTAATCCGGCCACTGGTGACAGATTCCGGCGACCGACGAGATTTTTCGGCCGTCTTCCACCGGAGAAGACGACCGGACGGCCGGAAAATCTCGCCGGCCGCCGGAAAAATTCGCCGGTCGCCGGAATCTGTCACCGGTGGCCGGATTTCGTCGCCGAAATTAAAATGGCCTGTTATTTACCGGTTTTTGGGCTTCATTGACCAAATTTAACATGTTTGAGTGTTTAATTGACTTTTTTTTAAAGTTTAGGGGGCTAATTGACCTTTAGGGTAAAGTTTAGGGGTCTATTTGACCCTTTTCTCTATGGATTATGGTCCATATTGTATGACTCATTTTTAGTATATTGTATATTCGTTTTTAAAAATGGACATTAGTATACTAAAATTTAAAATATATCAGTCGTCTACTTTACAACGTGGATCATAATTCACAATATAATTTGTCTTATTCTACTATCTCATGTTGAGTTTTTAATCCTTTTTGCGTTGTGCTTGGAATGGCTTAACCCTTGTGCTAAGTTACTATAGCCATGTTTGGTAAAATAGTTAACCTATTAGTTAATATTAGATTTCATTCGGTAATAAATTGATTATTATTAATTAGATCGTTAGACTTATTCAAACATTATAATTTCACATTACAATATCATAATCTCAACTCTCAATAATAGTTATAACAAATTTTTATCATATATATATATATATATATATATATATATATATATATATAAAAGCACAAGTTTCATAACTTATAATATTTATACTCGTTAACTAATTAATTTTACCGTAAATTAATTAAATAAAGTTCCAAAAAACATTTATAAAATGTTAATACAGCTATACAAAAATTCATGTGTTTTTAATATTATTAAAAAATAAAGAAGGTAGTTTCTCAATTTGTTTATCATGCATGTAACCCCCACCCCCACGCACACACCAAAAAATTATGATACTCTATGAATAATATGGAGTATTATTCATCATTAATCCTGACCATAGCTTGGGTCTGATTTGATTTCGTGATCAAATTGAACGAGTTGTAAGCGATTTTTTGACAAAAGTAAAACAAAGAATTTCTATATGAGAATTTTAAAATATAGACCAATTTCTAAACGTTTTAATTTTATCCTTTTATTTTAAATTGACATTTTAAATCATACAGCATCAACTCCCTCAACCCCGAACAAGAATGATAATGGAGTGGAGGCTTCAGAGGGCATATCCCCTCCTCATACCTGTCACGTTATTTACATATGATACACCCAAATCTGTATTTATATATACTTACATGTTTTCATTTGATGTGTAGATAAAAGTTTGTATATATATTTATTACCAAAAGATCAATAAACAGTTACCACGGAGAAATAGAAATTTTTGTGATTCTTATGTCAATTATTTAATCAATTTGGTTAGAACTATACTATATATTTCTGTTTTGCAATGAAATATGAAACCTTATTAAAATCGGGAAATATCAAGAAATTTCACATCTTTCGGTGATTATCTAACCTGGAGTTATCACCTTAGGTGACACAATTAACTTCATTAATCTCGAGAAAAACGAGTGAGAGAGGAGTCAAGCCAAAGAATATTGGAAAAAAAAAAAGTAAAATAAAATGGCAAGTGAGCTAATATGAAGACATGCATCGCCTTTGACAACTTCACGGGTGGTCCTTGCATATTGACATTTGTGTCTACTTATGACAGATGAGATTGTTAATATCTTAATACATAGTCGAGTGTTCAACACTTCACATGAAAAATATCAAATTTCTTTTAGTCCAGAAAGACTCTCGGCCACTATATGAGGATATAAATTAGGTAAATTTTATTTTGTGACTCTAAAAAAAAAAATCACAATAAAATAAATCAATCTAAATCGTTGTTAATAACGGACCAACTTAAACTAAGAAGGTCAATAAGCGGACTCATGCTTTATTTTTATTTTCTTATTATTTTGGGTGACGAGGAAACCCGCAACAATCATTCGAGAATGTGCACTGTGTAATTGCGTCTAGTGACTTTAGCTGATAAAGAATCACAATGAGATAAACCAGTATAGCCGTATAGGTTAACTCATAGGTGGTCGGCTCAAATAAAAAAAAAAACATTAATATGCTGGCTCAAGTTTTATTTTCATTTTCTTTTTAATTGTGTAAAAGTGGAATAAAAAAATGCGGTATTGTGTTATTGTCTGTGGACTGTGGCACTGTGGTACCAAACAAATGAAAGAAGAAGGTGTCAATTTTATAAGCTCACACAACTTTAAAAATAAATAATAAAAAATCTGTGCAACAGTTATAAGACCATAATAATGGAGCCGACACGTGTCGGCGTAGTAACAAAGTTGAGCATAAATAAATAAACTTAATAAAAAATCAAGAGTCAAAGTATGACTGTGGTCAAACACTGCCTTCGCATTAACTATGCAACTTATGCTTTTATTTCTCAGAAACTCTCCCTTTCTTTTTAACTATTTTAAGAAAATGGGAAGTTTATGGGCATGTGGCTTATCTAGGAAACTGGACGGACTATGGCGACAGCTCATTTTTAGCGGATAAAGAAACTTTCTTTAAAATAAAATAAAATAACAATAAAAACAATATTTTTTTTAATAATAATTAATAATACAATATTAATTAGATCCTAATTAAGTTTAAAGTGTTAAAAGATCATAATGACAGTACATTTTTAGTGAAAGTAATGGCTAAAAACAACGGGTATATATATAAGCAGAAGAAAACAAAAGTATTGAGAATTGTCTTATGACCTTAGCCAATGACAAAATACAAAAAGGTAAATCAGTTTAAGTTGTTCATAACTGAGCGATTCAAACCATGAAACTTAATAGACTGAATTGGAATTAAAAGATTGTAATTACCAAACTAATAGTCTAACCAATTTAATTATGATTGTCTCAACAAAAGTATATGTGTATATGTCATAAAGTATTAATAAGAATTAAACAAATTACTTTTTTTTTTCAAAATAGAGAAATATTGACACGAAATTTAGAAAAGTTCAAATAACTTTTCAATCACAATAAAGAAATCAAAGCATAGTTGTTTGCTTCTGATCATCTTACACTTTTGTTTTAGCCTGTCTTGGGAAGGTATAGAAATGATATCATGGTTGTTTGCTTCTTATCATCTTAACTGTACTCCCTTGTTTTAGCCTGCATTGTTAAGGTCTAAAGGCTGTCTAAGACAGATTCACTTAGTCATGTGATGACAAGAAATCTTTTGCGATGTCACAACTCTCAATAGTTCAATTTGTCCAATAAACCATTATATTTCTCAGCGTTATAGATTAATTAAAATTAAGTTCAATTTTTTTTAAATTAGAATATATATAAATCACTTACATAATATTATCTAGAGTAAATTTCACCAAAATTTTTTTTGAGTTTGAAGCATTATCAGTTTTAGTTCTCAAACTTACAAGTTTATCACAATAAGTTTTTCAACTTCTTTAAAGCTACAACTTCTTTAGGAAAAGAAGGAAAAAAAAAAAAAACCTTTAGTAAGAATGATGAGATATAGTTTGATTCAGTTTCAAAACACGTAATTGGGAAGAACACTTCAAACTACATGTCGTAGTCATTAGTTGAAATGTTGAATCACTATCAATACCAAACACAACAAGCTTTCTGTTCTTTATTACTTCGTAAATAATAAGACCAGGCCCAAAAGAAAATCTAGTACATACGAATGATTACATACAAGAATGAATAATCAATTAATTACAATTTATAAAAATAAAAAAGAGAAAAGATCTCTCACAAACCCCTTTGGTTTGCTATCCTACTTCCTCCTACCAAAGACCAGAAAGGGAGAAGGCAATAATACTACACACGAATACTCTGATCTCCAACGAAAGAAAGAATGAAAAAAAAGAGGGAAAACACACAGACACTAACAAGTTTTTGTTGAATCTTCCACTTCAGGAACTGTATGACTAGGCGGAACTTCAGTTGGTGGAACATCCATTGTTACTTGCGGTTGACCCTTTGTCATAAAGGAGCTTCGGGATGGGGAAGTCGGGGATGAAGGTGAGGGTGGAGAACCAGAGAGCATTTTTGAGACTGCAGGAAGAGGCGGGTAAACTTCTGTGACCTCTTCAATGTCACCGTCATCGTCACAATCAATAAATTCCATGGCGAGTTGGTGATATTCAAGAATCTCTCTCAAGAAACGATTCTCACGAGCATACACAGCATTCTCATTTGCCAGCCGAGATTTCTCAGCTAGTAATGTCTCAAGCTGGAGGCGTATCTACAAGTGCAAAGTTATAGGAGAATCATCAATATTGTTTGTGGAAAAGTAACATATTCTACGTAATATATAAACATAAGTGTGTCATTCAACTATCAGCTTAGGTTTTGATGCTTCAATTTAGTATCAAGTCATCCCGCAAGAGGTCATGATTGCTTAGACTTTTAATTGAGGTGAAACACATGCTTTAATTTTGGTGTCTTAGGTTTATTTGTTTTCTAGTTTTAGTTACTGCTTCATTCTGTTACATTGCCAAATGCAGTAACACTACCTTAGTCCCTAAAAGGCCATATAACATCTCCAAATGTCATGCTCAATATCACCAAATTAAAACCGGGCCGAGATTTCAAACATAGATCAACGGAATTACGAATTACCATGTCATCATCATCATGATCGTCTCCCTTTTGGTCAGTCTCTCGAAGCTTTCTATTTTCTTCTTCCAGCTGAGAACACCGTTCTTTTGCAAAGGCCAGATCTGATTTAAGAGTTTTCAGCTCTCGCAGAAGAAGCTTAGCTTTGGCAGCTGTTGCCACTGCCATCTGTAAGGAAAATAAATAAACAGATGCCAAAATGCACAAAACTGGCAAGGAGAAGCCATCAAAAAATTAAAAATGAATTTTTGAATGCTCTCATGGCTGCATCAGATAAGATTTGTACATGAATGACATTTATCCTGCAAGTTATCACTGTAAGCTTCAAGATGCTATAACCCCTCTAATCTTAAGTACATTGTCATTCTATAAATACTACAGTATATAGTCAAATAAGGTCACTTTTAAATACTACAGAAGCTTTGAGCTCAAAGTTTTACCTAGTATGTTTAATTGAGAATATAGTTATATGGTGTTTAACATCTTGCAAGCATGTTTCATGATTACGTTCAGTGCCATCTTGGCTAAACATTTTTCATTATTGTCATTATCAACAGTTGCTCCTTTTAGCTATCATCCATCAGACCATCACCATTTTTGGCTGGGAATATAGAGTGGTGACTTTGAGTAATACAAGGCACTTTACTCTTGCAGAAATAAGTTTGGTTTAAAAGATTTCAAGTAGATTAAACATTTCAGAGAGCCTTCTAATGAATATTAAGCTTCTTCTTGCAACATAACCAGATATTCCATTACACAGGTTCACAACTTACTTTGCGAGATTCCGTGAGTTGATCTTCATTACTTGTTTGCTTCATTACACAAGAGCCCTGATTTTGCTCACTGGGGAAAGTTCCATTTCTCCTTATCTGTGGTTTGCGTGTTTCTTGAATGATGTCTGCAGTTTTGTTCTCAACAATACTACGTCCTTCCTGGAAATAAAGAAATAAATGTATATTGAAATGGTAATCCTGCAACTTAATTCCATCTATTATGTACACCTTATATATCATGCCAATCACTATGAAGAAAAATTCAAATGAGAAATAGCAGAAATGCATTATTATAGAATATTATATGTACCCTTCACATTAAGAAGGTAACTGATAGATATACGGAGACGGAGCTAGTGTGGGGGTAGCTGCTCCCACTCCCTCCATCCCACCCCTTTATATATATGTATGTATATATATACATATATAGCATTAGATGCTATATAAAAAAAATATTTATGTTTAAATTACTAATAGTTTGGGTAGCTTAGTTGGTTGAACTCTATTTTTTTGCTACTTAAGAAAGTGTCTTTCACTTGTTTATTTTATCTCTTTCATTCCTTCCCAAGATAAATATTTTTTAGTCTACTTTTATAAATCATTTAATTAACAAATTAAATATTCTTTTAATCTACTTTTTATGAATCATTCAATTAATGTAATATACAAGTTTATAATATACTTCATTGTATTCGAATTAATTTAGAAAAACTTAAAGTTGATCTAACTAAAAAAATTAAATTAAAACGTATTTATGAATATAGTATTATTCAAATTATTTTATCTCATTGATTATGTTTCATATATTGTCATAAATATTTTCACATTGTCACCCCACTCAAGTATATTTTTGGCTCCGACTCTAACTATCAAGTAATATTACTAATATATCAAAAACATTCTATTGTAATTTATAATGTATTTTGTATTTTAACCTTATTATGACTGTTTGATATTTTGTAATTGACATTTCTAACGTTATTTAAACTTCGCTCCCACTCACAAAATTTTCTAGCTCCGTCCCAGGATATACCTACAATGCATTTCCAAAGTTGTTCAAGGAAGATGTGAATGCATCCAAGCCATTCCTAAGAGTAGGGTTCTCCATTTTTTTGGAACTATCATACTGTTGAAAAGACTGATAGCATCGTGAAGTTTGAAAAGAAAATGAAACAAAATTAGAAACAGCCTAGCTATCATAAACAGAAAATGTGCTTGTAACAATTTCAAAATACAGAAGTTTTGAGACATTCTATTTGAATACATGTCTGTCTTCGGTGATTGAGCTTCCTGTGGTTTATTCATAGTTCATAGTAAGAAGCAAATAATAAGCTAAAAAGATGATGTGATAATGAGTTAATCACCTGGTTGGCCTTTGGTGTGGCTTCAAACTCCCGGGACATGGTTTCATCCTCAAGAATAGCTTTAGCTTTCCTAACTAGAACACCCCAGAAACCGCCGACTTCATCTGAACCCTTCATCGAGGTATAGTCATAGGTGGGAGAACCCTGAGGCTGAAGTTAAAACAATTATATACACAGCACAATAGGTTAATATGTTGGATTCATTTGTTCTCAGTTATTAATCTACTTATAGATTATAGATAAATTCAGAGTAGTTTTAGGCCATCTCTGGTCCAAAGCAGAAAGAAATAAGTGATATAATCAATAATTCTAGTAATCTTCAATAGCATTTACTTACAAAACCTCATTAACCTGGCTCGTTCCATAAAATTAAACTGAAAATATTTTTTCTAAATTAAATGCCATGCATGCTGGTTCTTAAAGCAGTGAAGAAATAATAAATGTGTTTTGAGAAGATGATAAATACAGAAAGGAATTTTCATTATCTGCGTTTTGGCAACAAATTGAAATGAAAAATTAGAAACAGGGTGTATCGATGAAGAACAATGCCGTAGCTTGAAAGGAAAGGAACGAAATAAGAAGAGATCTAGAAGAACACCTTTGATTCGTCGCGGAAGGCGGACTGAGAATAAGCGGAGGAGAGGGAGGAGTCACGGTGAGCGGCAGAGGCTCTGATCGCCTTGGCTGCCAGCGAAGGCGACGTCTGAGAAGTGTCGTCTAAATCTTCCGAAGAATCCCGGCTAATCTCTTCCTTGAATGTGGATGACTTTGTGAGCCCCTGCTTCCTCCTGTACGCCATTCCTCACCGTCCGCTTTGCTCTACAAATCGATAAATTAAAACTCGATTCTCAGAACACACTGCACTCCGGCTGTCGCGCACAGAGGCAGCACAATCACCGGAATCCACAAGCTCCGCCGTTAACCACAACCACCAATTCGATCGGATTGGATTGAATTGCTTTTTGGTTTTACAGCGAGAAGGAAAAAAGAGAGGGACGCCTCGCCTTAACGAACTACTCTCCGCCTTTTTCGGTTGGCTATGATAATTTAAATTGGGAGAAAGTTGATTCAGAGCATTACCGCACATCGTTTTAACGGACGACTCCGTGTTGAATTGGACCCACCCAAAATACAAAATAAGAAAAGTATTACATGCACCTCTAAATTTTACTTTTTGCACTTTTACTCTATTATTATTATTATATGGCAAACAAGGACATGATACTTTTAACATGTGAGTCTCAAGAAAATTTGTTTACATTAAAACTTTGTGAGAAGGAGTAAGGGATGCAGTCCATGTATTATTTTCCACAAAGGAATAAGCAAAATTCAATTTTATGTAGGGTCTTTGGTGGGATCCTCGATAAATGTCATGTTAGCTGAAGTTATACATTTGTCAACAATAATTTTTAAAAACAAATAAGGGAAAATCGTCAAATGGATTATCAAACTTTACCTAAAAAGTCAATTAGTTCCCTAAACTTTTTAAAATAGTAATTAAACCTATTAACATTGTATTTTTGTATAATGAAGCCCAAAAAACGATTAGTGACATGCGATAGGGTTCTGGCAACCTCCGACAATACTCTGATGTCATTTTTGACGAAAAACGACAGGTGAACCGGTGTCGATAACCATTGAAGCCGAAAATGAAGGTGATCCTCCAGGTCGCATTCTTTGGAGAATGCGACCACTAGGTCGCCTTCTCACCCCGACCAATGTTGCCTTCCTTTTCAGCTTCAACGGCAACTGACACCAATTTGCCGGTCGCTGATCGTTTTTTCGTCGGAAATGGCACCAGAGTATCGTTAGATGTTGCTGGAACTCTAGTGATGAACTATTTTTGGGCTTCATTGTACCAAAATACAACTTTGATGGGTTTAATTGCTACTCTAAAAAATTTTAGGAATCTAATTAACTTTTTATGTAAAGTTCAATGGCTTATTTAACTCTTTTCTCAAAAAAATAATAATAAATACGGATTAAGATCAATCTTACATGAGGCATGTAATACCTTTTATAAGTTTATAAAATGTATTATAAGTCTCACAGAAAACTTAAATTGCCAAATAATATATATATATATATATATATATATATATATATATATATATATATATATATATATATGAGTGTTCAAACTCATGAACAATAAGCAATTAATCCCTTTTAAATATACATTATTTATGCTTTCAAAAAATATACATTATTTATTATTATAAATTATTATCAACTTCACTTTAAGGTATCTTGTCTAAACGAATAGTGCTACATGTACCCTTTTTACCTTTTATTCTTTAGTATTTTTTTTTTTTTTGTTAAATACAATCTCAAAGACTTACGGCATGACAATTACAACTATATATGAACAACAAATAGTGATTATCATCTTGAAGGTATCTCTTTTCCCAACTTTTTAAGCTTGAGAAAAAAATTATAGTTTTGGCCTTTGAATTATGAGGTAGGTGTAATTTTTGTCCTAATTACTATAAGTTGTAATGATACATACTCTGTAATTAGTCACCAATGCGCAGTGGTGTATTTATTCATTCTTCCCAAGTGGTGTATTTATTCATTGTCCTAATGGATGGAATTATTTAGGAGGAAAACCAAAACAACACTAATATATAAAAGATAATGGTATTCTCATTTTGATTTTCTTAGACAAAAATTTAAATAACACCTAACAAGTTCCACTACACATTGGAGATGATCTTCAATTCACATATGATCGGGAGTTCAACACAACTGGTCAATTCAATAAAAATACAAATAATGAAAGGAAAAAGAGAGATAGACACAATATTTTTACGTAAAAATCAAAGGGAAAAATCACAAACTTTTTTGGGCGGTGCCAAACTAGAAATTCACTATATTATAGGAAATTTTGTACATGTATTTGTGTAGAGATTTTTTGAACATGAAAAAATGGACCCCCCTCCCCCTCCTCTCGTTCCTCATCTCTTCTTATAGAGAGAGAAAGCTAGATACTGGGTAAGGAGTATTCAATGGTAGCTAGTAAATAGGGTGTTTTATTAGGATTTTAATGAGTATTTTAAGAGGTCATAAATTGGTGGTTGGTTAGTGGGTTTTAAGTGATAATAGTGGGATTAATGGGTTGTTATGGGTAGTTAAAAGAGTAATAAAGAGGTATTTATTTGGGGTTAGGGAGGAATGTTGGGTAATTTAACTTAGGGGGTCGAAAATCGACCAATATAATTGGTCACGTCTCAATTTATTGTTAGGTGATTTGATCGAATTTTTTGGGTATCCATCAAATCCTTTTTAAGAGAGAATACATGCGTTGCTTGCTCTTAACCTTCACTACACACGTAATTCGATCAATAAAATAATAATCCACCCGTATTAATAGCAACTTGCATGATTCAAGTCCACATATAAGTTTATGACCATCCAACTCAGTTAAAGTTAAGTTATCCTAGCCAGTTAATCTTTATTCAACATGAACTTATACACATAACTTCAAGAATAATGACTTAATCTCACTCACTCTGTCCGGGAAAACCAATAAACTTATTTTATATTTTATCAATAATAAATGGCTTGACAATAAATTGGATTAAACAATTTCAATTGAAACTAACAATTCTTTGTCAAAACCAGTATTTGGAAAGTGACGAAGCCGAAAGAAAAGTGCTTCTGCATGACTTTTTCCGACGACCAATCGTTATACCATGCACTACGGTGCACCTAAAGTCTCTCAAAACGACACTGTTTTATTAAGTTGTGTGAGGAGTCAACATGACAAGGTGTATGTATATTATGTTATATAATTATGTACATTATGTTATACAATTATGTACATTCGAGTATACAATATTATGTACATTCTAGTATACAATTATATATATTTTAGTATACAATTATATACATTTTCAAAACATGATTTTTTTTATTTTTTATTTTTACAAGTTAACAGCAAAAACAAAAAAGTAAAATTTTCAAAAAAAAAAAAAAAGAAAAAAAAGAGAGTCTAAAACAGCATCGTTTTGTACAATGACATACAATGCAATATGCGCCCTGATGCACGATATAAATTGCCTTTTCCGACGGCGTCCCGCCACCAGCGTCGAGATGGGCTTTGCGGCCACATCGAGGGCATCAAGCAAGCTAAGGGTGATGAATTGAACGAGGTTGGGCTAGCTGTTATTATATATAATTATCACAACACAATTCAAGGTTTAATATTCCATTTTACTTGTCTTGGTCAAACTTTTCTTTGTTTATTTTCTATAGTATTTTTTACTTGTTTTTTTAAGTTTAATTTTTTGTGTTTTATAGTACTTTTTCTAAATATATAAATTTTGTATATAAATACTAAATTTAATATTATGAAAAATTAAATAAAAAATAACTTTAGGTCTTGTTAATTGAATGAAACACATAAAATGGTATGGAAGGAGTATTATTTTCCACCACAATATTTACGTTGTAAGCGGAATGGATATATATATAAAATTTACAATAAACAACGTTGGGGAATGGGAATCGCAGATTCGCAGTCCAATAGAACGTAACGGACTGGTAAACGTCGTTATCACCATGAATGGCCAAATTAAGGGTTTATATATGGCTCATACTTCTTCAACTTTCCATAGCCGCCGTTATTGATGCAAGAACCATATGTGACTTGTCTAACGACGTTAGGCTTCTTCAATTCCCCTTCAAATCAACATATATAAATATATAATTTCTGATCTAGAACAGCTAGTTGGAGCTGAGGCTTGCGGCGGCGCGTGCGCGTCCATCCGCACTGCCCCCCACTCATATATGCCAGAATAATCTTTGTCGTCCTAGCTAGACTTATAGCTTGCCGACAAGAAATTAAGACATTCTTCGATTAGTTCGATATAAACATATATAATTAACGTTAAACTGAAAACCTAAAGAAAAAGAAACAATTGTTTTCTTTAATGACATGGATGACCCACATCTCAAGTTTGATCATTCTTATATCAACTACCTAACTTATCCAAAAAAACAAAATTCTCTCACATGTAGAACCTCACATTGTGCCCATTACATTTGCTGTAACTCTAAATTTAAAGTTCTAAAGCTCCTCACGTCCCCTAGGGAGCATCTATTGCTGGATGTGCTTCAGTAACGCTGTGATCTAAGTGATATGAATGGCTACTTATTTTTCATGATTTTACCCCTTACAGAGTTTGGTCCCGGACATTTACTAACTAACCAAGTTAAGTATAATTTTAACTAGCTAACTATGTACTCTATGTGATGGAGTACTTTTGATATAACTTTCACACTATGAGTGATCGTCTATTATATCACTTAAGAACTAAGAGAACTGCTCATGCAAGGAATCTTATCTCAACTTGAGCTTAACATCAGGCATGAGCCGTGATGGCTCTTTATATAGCACTGCACTTTGAATTTTTATTTTTTGTTCTTTCTTCCAACAATCTATATATATAATAACTAGGATTCATATAAACTGTTTGTAAACAACATTGGTTAATTGTCACCTGGTAATGGACGGCAGAGATTGGATGCATATATGCACCACAGAAGTTTTATTAAGCAGGGAAGATGATGCCACCAACACTAATACAACCGACCTGCAGCCTGGCCTAAACCTCTCTTAAGGTCAGCCACGCGCCGCCATGGTTAGTACTGGCAGTGGCATCATCTCTCCTGCGTAGTGAAACTTCCGGGTGTGTTTCCGGCGGCCTTCTTCATCTCTCATCATCGCCTTTCTTGTGGTATTCATACTCTCATCTGCGACCCTCAAATGAATCTGTATGTTATGCTATTGTGCGGCTGACTTGTTCATATATAAAGGTCCAATAGAGGACTTGGAGCTAAATTTATAGGCAAATTTGTGTTTTTATCCCTCAATTATCCTCTATTAATAATTTTAATCCCTTATTTTTTTCGTCATTGTAATGTACTTCCCTAGTTTAATTGTGAGTTAATACCCAAAATAGTCCCTTGACTATGTCGTAATTACCAATTTGGTCATCGACTATCATTCTTACCCAATTAAGTCCTCA